AGGGGCAGGAGCCGTACAGCTCAGCACGGCGGCTTGGAGGCAGCTGAAGGTGGTCAGAGGAGGAGACGGCGTGGGGAAGGCTCTGGGAAGGCGGAGGTGAGCGCGGCAGGGTAAGGCCGGCAGACCCTTCCCTGCGCCCGCAAACGGCAAAGGCGGCAGCGTCGGGCGGAGAGCCGGGGACAGCGAGCTGCCTGCCGCGTGCTGGAGAAGTCGGCTTGTTTGGAGCCAAACCTGGTTAAAATGGGAAGAGCTGGCAAGTGCATCTTGCATAGCGAGATGAACTAAACGGGAGTACACATGCCAGGGAGGAAGATTCAGCGTGGAGCATGTGCTAACTAGAAATAAACAGGCAGCTCCTGGGGCACGGGCTGTGTGCTCAGCAGCGGGTAGGGCAGGCAGCTCTCCCGTTTGCCCAGCTGTCTGGGGCGGCGTGGGGCAGAGCCTGTGCCGGGTGGCTGGAGGAGCCTTGGGGTGTCCTATGAGCCCTCCTGCTCAAAGACTGTATTTTGCATTTCCCAGAAATCAGTAGCGGCAGGTGCCAAGGACACACAGGACACAAGGGCTCAGACCACTCTGCAGCACCGTGGGCAGAGGGTGCCTTTAGGATTCTTTATTTCTTTTTGGTTGGAGTGTTACTAGCTGCCCACAGATTACAAAGCCATTGTATTTTACCACCATGTTCTCCTGTTGGATGATCACCAGCTTGGTGTTTGCCCTATTTCAATCCTGATTCAGAGAGAGGGAAATGGTATCTGCAGAAACAGCACACTCTTCAGCTGTTTGAATTGTTGAAGTTTTTACTGGCATCACAGGGCAGAAGCAGAAATGAAGTTACCACAACTGCAACACGTTCAGGCTGACATGGGACTCGCAGCCCCGATGAAGAAGAGGATAGAGATAAAATTCCTTGTAACCTGTGATCTCCTGGTTGCAGTTACTTGGCTGTTCAGAACCAAAGCGTGGTGGCAAGCAGCATCACTGGCTGTGTCCCCGGGCTCTGCCCCAGACCTGGCAGGCTGTGCTGCACCGGTGCAGGGGGATTTGGGTGCCCCTGGCTGCAGGGAGGGTGCGGGGTGCGCTGCCGGAGCTGGGGGGATGCTCTGCCCCTGGCAGCACCGCAGTTACCCGCTGCTTTCCTCTCTGCTTTTTCAGCACCAACTCCCGTCACCGACATCCGCACGGATAAAGTTGAGCAGAACAGCGGCTCCTTGTCGTGGCAGGAGCCGGGCTTCCCGACCACCAACGGCACCGAGTACGAGGTCAAGTACTACGAGAAGGTAGGCTCTGGGGACTGGCTCCGTCTCTCGGTCGTGCCTCAGCCCTCCCCAGCCGACTCCTGGGTCCTTCCCTCCCAGCCGGGTCTGCCCCTGGGGAGCGCGGTGCGGGGTCCGCCTGTGCCACCGGTCGAGGTCACCATCCGCCGCGTGAAGGTGGAGTGGTGGGAAAGGCAGGGAGCGCGTATCTGCGGACGGTGCTGTTGGGAAGATTTTACTGGCACCTGAAAGTAAGAGGAGCGCTTCAAATGGGGGTCAATAAGGTCTTTTCTTTTCCGACAGTGTTATGCGATCTGCTTATTCAATTTTTAGGAAATTTGGATTATTTGGTTTATGTTAATTAGTGTTTTTTTCCCCTATCTCTGCAGTAAGATTTCATCCAGTCCTAATGTTGACATCTCCCTAGGAGAAAAAGTAAAGATAATAATTTTCATTCTTTTTTTTTTTTTTAATGCGTTGGATTGCTTTTTTTCAAGGACATTAGGAATCTGAGGTTTGGGTGCTTGCCATTAGCCAGCTAGACAGGGACCGCTAAACCGTACTGGGTTTCTAAATCTTTGACAAGATGACACCTGTATTCATAGCCTGCTCTCTGGGGAAGTGTTGGACCTTGTGGTCCTCACCAGTTTAGGACAGAGGGCCACTGAACCCGTGACTTTGGTGAGCTGTGAGTGGTCTTCCACACAGGAGGGGACACAAGCAAACGTTTTTATGACAGTCTCTGAATTTTAAAAATAGCTGTTATTTGGTAGGTGCGGTGGCTTGAGAATTTTAGAAGAAATACCAGTGGGCAGAGAGCAGGGACAATGCTCTAAATCAAAATAAATGCAGTTTATGACACAGTTCTGCAAATTACCTTATCTGCACGTGCTCAGGCTTGTTATGAAACTGATTACATGTCAAGCAAACTGTGCAGGTGACATGTTGGCATTCTGTATTTAGAAACAAGCTACCTTGAAGCTGATTCATATTAATGTGATTTTCAGCATCTGATAGATTTGAAAGAAGGAATCTGTGGGTGAGGGCGAACACTGAAGCCCAAGATAGTAATTCCTGTGCAAATGGGCTGCAGCAACAAGATACTCAGGGTATGTGAAATGAGGAAACGTCCTGCTTAGGTAGGGAATTCAAACTATAGTTTAGCAACTATTAACTGAAATGAGGCTCTTGTTGCTGACATGAAAAAGCTGTACTTTAACTATGGAGATTTAAGGGAAAAAGCATATCAAATGGAAAATAGGTTTCACAGCGATGTCCCTGGCCCTGGAAGTGGCGCAGTGAACGGCTGCTGCCTGCGCCCGTGCCAGCTCGCGGGGCTGGGATGCTCGTCGGGGCTGGTCCCCGGCGTAACGAGGGAGCAGCACGTGCGTGTGGGATCTGAGAGAGGCCGATGCTGAAGCAGCGGGACGTGGCCCGGCCCTGCTCCCGGTGGAAAGTAGCCTCAGGTAACCGGAGTCTGGGCCTCATCTTCTCGTCGGGGAGCTTGTTTTGAAGTACCCGACATGGATGAGAAAACGATCTCTGATGGCGGCTGCACAAAAGCTTTGCGGGAGCTGGCAGGAGGTCTGGGGCTTGTTTTGCTTTGCAAATCATGGGGATCTGCTGCACTGGTGCGCGAAAGAGGTGCGAGTTGCCCAGCAGTCCCACTGGCCGTCTGGCCAGGCAGAGCCCACCCTGCCTTCACCACCTCCAGCAGCGGCTGCAGGAGCCGGGGGCTGCCCATCACACTCTCCCTTAGTCAAAGCAGAGAGATCTGTAGGTCGATGGGCAAGTGAATAAAATCCCAGGCAAGAAGACCATTGGCAAACCCACCTGCCAGCTTTGATTACTCAGCGTGTGCTAATACATGTGTGTTTACTCCAGGGCTCGAGTGACCGAAGCAGGGGAGTGGGAAGGGGCCGGACGGTGCCAGCAGCCGAGCCCCAGTGCGGGGGCAGGCGGGAGGAAAGGAGCCATGTGGGGTAGCACAGCTGCTCCCCACCACCCCGTCCTCCGCCCGTCTTCATAGCACATCATCTGGCTCTGTCTGCCATTTCATGCGACCTTTCCATGTAACTTCTATTGATGAGACATCTAGTAAATGTATTCTTTCTGTTGAAGGTTTTACGTTTAGATTGACTGTCCTGATGGGACCCAGAGGCGAAGCGAAGATACAGCTGTGCCGTGCCTGCTCTGTGGCACAGCTGTCAGTCCAGCTAGATCTCAGGTATCTCATTATTTCACAGGATCAGAGAGATCAGAGTTACTCAACTGTGAAAACCACATCAACAGCCGTGACGGTCAATAATCTGAAGCCTGGCACCCTTTATATTTTCCAAATCCGGACATCTTCCTCACCGGACTATGGAAACTACAACCCTAGTATAGAAGTGGAGACGCTGGCAGAGTGTAAGTGTTGGCAAGGCTCGTTGTCTCTTACACCTACAGCTGCAGACGTGAGGCTCTTTGAGCTAAGTCATGGGGATGCTGCTGCTCGCTGCTCCTGTCCCAGATGCTCTTGGTTTTGTGGAGCAGCATCCATTCTTCTGCTTCTGCCGCTCCACGTCTAAGAGCAGGTACTTCCCAGGACTTGCTTTTAATTGCATTTTCCTATTTGATTTTAACAAGGTTGCTACTGCTGGCCTACCCATCCTGGAGGTGTCTGTCCTCGCTATTCTCAGTGCAGCATCAGTGAGGGCAGCCAGTCTCTGGCTTCTCTCTGATGTAGAGACTGGGGACAGAGTCGCTGCTCTTTGACTGAGATTGCCCAAGAAAGTGCTTAGCAGAGCCAGAGCAACTGGGAGTTGTTTTGCCTTGGTGTGATGTTAGTGCTGGCACAGATCTCATCAGGTCCCTTTAACAGGGCCACCAAACAGGTGCTGGAAGGGAGCAAGTGTCAGTCCTTGCCAGCATAACTGCCGAGGGCGCAATCCTGCCCGGCTCTGCAAAGCTGTGCAGCCCACAGCGGGCACTGCAGAGATGAGGTGGGCAGCTGCACAGGCTGCAGCAGAGGAGGCAAGACCAGCCTGGAGATCCAGCTGGCCTTGGATGCGTGCCCCAGATAGGAGATGACTGCTTACCCCCACTGCTGTCCTGGCTCATGAGGCACTTGGCTTGTTAGCTGCTTGGCTGAATAAGGTCAGCCAGCATCAGTGTTATTTGCTGGGGCTTTTCCTTTTCACAGTTTTCATTCATAACTATAGTCCAGAAGCATCTTATTTCACTGACTAAAAGAGGGCTTGGAGAGATGGTAGGGCTTCAGCTTAATAACCCACCCTGGCTAGAAATGAAAGCCCTGAGATGGCTGGCTCAGTACGACTCTCACAGATTGTGTTTAACAGGGCTTTAAATTGCATCCATTTGCCACACAGAAGACATTTTCAGAAAGAATTGAAGCCAATAAAAATTTTATATAGAATGTAGCTTTCTATAACCCCTGTTTGCAAAAGCAGGAAGGGAAGGGATTAATGTAATGAAGGAAAACTATTTGTAAGCCATAAATTTTAATATGACCCTCTGATAATCAGGAACCTTTCCTTACTGCTGATTATCAAAACCAGGAGCCCTGTGTGGCAGTGCTGGGGTTGCTCCATCCGTGCCTGCAGCACTGCCCTGCATGTTGGTCTGATTGCGCACCAGCTCGAGCTCTTAAAACCGAACCAGAATGTGAATTATTGTGAGGATGGTGAAAAGGAGCCTGGCGCTGCAGGTGAAATGTCCCACAGCCTTGCTGGAGGATGCAGGCTGGCACCGGGAGGAGCGGACGGGGCTGCCCCATGCCTTGGACCTGCCCCAGGGCGCATTGCTGACCGGCTCTGCTTCCCTCCCGTAGTGACGGTGGCCTCCAGCGAGCAGAACCCTGTCCTCATCATCGCGGTGGTGGCCATCACGGGGCTGACGGTGCTGGTGTCTATGGTGATCGGCATGATGGTCTGGAGGAGGTGAGCGGAGCTGTGGCTGAGCCGAAGTTCGGGGCTGGGGCAGGGGAGGAGGACCGAAGCGAAGCCCCCACAGCAGAGGCTCTCGGGAGCACAGGGCAGCGCTGGCTTGAAGTGTTGGAGCTGGGTTGAACTGCCTGCTGGCTCCTCATGCCGTGGGGCTGGACTCTGTTCCCATGCAATGTGACTTGATGCTTGTATACCCAGCAAGAGGCTGCTGCCCAGATAACAGTGTGCATCTTCATTCTCGTTGCAGACAGTGTGGGTACAGCAAAGCCAGCCAGGACGGGGATGAGGAGCTGTACTTCCATTGTAAGTGAAGTCTGCCACTGTGGCTGGTACAACTGTGTGGGGATCCTTGTATTTATTGCTATTAATAGCCCAGCTCCTGACAAAGCAGCCCTGAGCCCTTGCTTTTGAAGTGTTGTCATCCCGCATTATCCCCAAGCAGGGGCTCAGCACAGCGAGGCTCTCTGGGGACAGCAGGCTTGACAGCTTCCTACGCCAGTGTCCATCCTTCCCGCACACAGGTCACTGCCATGCCGAAGGAAATGGGGATGCTTTCAGCTTTCCATGGGGTGTATGAATTATTCCATCAGCTTTTCACAAACAGCTACATGAGAATACAGCTTTGTTTTCTGGGGCTACTCTTGATTATTGAGCAGCAGTAATTTTACAGACAACAGTTGTCAAAGGAAATTCAGATGTCAGGATTGATGAGTTTATTTGATTCCTGGCATATGCCCATGAAGCACACACATGCTCTTCTGCTCCCTGAAGCATTTCAGAAGCAGCAGAGCCCGCATGCTTCTCAGATGCAGCTTGGCCATTTCACCTGGCTTTGAAGGGCCTCGCACTGCTGAGCTGCCCTTGGGAGTTTGCCGAAGATTTTCTGTGCAGGGCGAGGGGAGTGCAGGAGCTGCCCGGTCTCAGGAAGGCAAATGGAGCCGAGGAGGAAGGGGGAAGCCTGGCATGGGGTGACCCCTTCCCAGGGGCAGCGTGCTCTGCCGTTTGCCCGTGCACTGGTGCTGGACGGGCCAAGCAGCTCGTGCAAAACATCAGTCATCCTCCTTGCCTTGTCCGGGGAGAGGAGGAGATGTGGCAGCGCTCTAGCAGGGGCCTGGCGAGCGGCAGAGCTGATGTGCTTTGGCCGTTGTTTTGGCTGTTCGTTTTCAGGAAATCTGAATTAGAGTTTTGAGGAAGCCGCAGCAAGCAAGCGGCCGTTTTCCCTCTGGAGCTTTGCAAGGGCTCCGTAAGCGGGTCAGCCTCTTTCCGCACAGCTCTCCTGGATGTGCTCCCAGGCAGGGTCGCTTGCAGCAGATGGCAGGCGCCTGTGGGAGGTATTTTGCTGCCCATGACGCTAATCGAGGGGGCCTGGAACATGGCTGTTGTTCGTGATTATAATTATCTCTTCTAGAGTTCTTGAACTGAGATGATTTGGATACCTGAGGATTAGCACAGGTGGCAGACAGGCTCAGTCCGGGAGGGACCTGCACTGAAGTGAAGGAGCTGCTGTCCTTTAACCCAGGGGTTGTGGCAGTGGAGCGGAGTGATTAGGATAATTTAATCCCACAAGAAATTTCCTAGCAACCTTAAAGCTGAGTCTTTTGCTTTGCTTATAAAAAGGTGGCAATTAAGTCCAGCCAGCAGACCTGGGGATGGATAACCTGGGAGAATGTTTCCTGGGACAAGTAGACTGGAGCTCTACCAAGCCTTTCTCATGCGCCCTTTCTGCCTTTCCTGCTTTCCTGCAGTTAAAATACCAACCAGGAGGACGTACATCGACCCTGACACTTGTGAAGACCCCATACAGGCCGTGCACCTCTTTGCCAAAGAGCTGGATAACGCTAGTATTAAAATTGAGAGGATCATTGGGACAGGCAAGTTCCTCCTCGCCAGGCCCTCTGCGGAGGTGGCTGTGCCGCGGGGCGGTGGCTGTGCTCAGCCGGAGCACTCCCCTCTCGCCCCCGGTGCCACGGCATTGCTGCTGGGGTCCTGCCTGACCCGCAGTGCTGTGGGTGCGTGCCGGCCCTCCCGCTGCTGCCCGCGGGCTCTGCCCGCCTTGCCCGTGTCTGTCAAGGCAGCTCCTCATCCTCTGGTACCGTCAGCACTGTGGACCTTTGCTCTTCATCTTGTCTCAGGGGGGTACGTGCTTGCAGCGGGGAGATGGGACTGGGGCTGGTGAGTATTTTGTTCAGGAGCTCGATTTCTCATTCTCATTCGTTTTTCTGAGGCACTAAGTACAGCCAAACGAGTGACGTGTGGACCAGAAAACATCAACAATTATCTGCATCTGGGCAGTTTGACAGCAGCATGAAAACTATTTATAAATATGTGAACCTAATGATTTATTGATTTTCATCAACTTCACTGCCTAAAACTTAAAAGCGAATTAAAATCCCCTCACTGGGCCCCAGAGCCTTAGTCACTAATGTGTGCCAGAGCATGGGAAACGTGATTATTCTTTGTCGTTTCTTTTCCTAAAGATAAATTCAGCTGCAGAAAAAGAAGAGGTGGAGGAAGGGAAGAGGGAAGGGCTTGCCCACCAGCTTAAAGGACAGTGTTGAAGGGAAGAGGACACTGGGGAGAATCTTCTCATGGGGAAAAAGCACAATATGCATTTGAGCGGAGTGTGGAGAGGATGGCTTAGGGATGTAGGAAAAGGAGGAAGAAATAGCATTGTATTATCAAGCATTTTTGGTATCACATGCTGATGCTAAACTTGTGTGAAGTGTTGTGTGTTCAACAAAGGTGGGGAAGATGGTAAAACAGACTCTGCGAGGGAAGCTTGCAGCCATGCAGGGCTCCATGTGTTTCAGAGTTTATGGATTGGCAAATCGTCTGATTAGTGATGGGGAAGTCTTGCTTGTCTACACAGCAAGACACATCACTTGTGCTACAGGAATGCACCTTATGGTCCCAAAGCAAGGAAAATATCCCCTAAAGGGAAGCTGACTTCCCAGAAGAAAACTGCTGCCCTTTGCTTTGTAGCCGGTGTATATATATAACCTGTCTTTATAGTGCATTGCAACAGCTCAGTAAAACATCGCTCTTACAGAACGGTACCAAAAGCCGTGAAGAAGCCATGAAGTCAGCTGGCAGGTAGCTCATTCTTTCGTGGTCTGGAAAAGGCAGAGGGATCTGTGACGGCGCACAAAGGAGTGATGTGAATGTGATTGCAGGGGGTCCTCTGGGAAGGTGCAGTGCTGAGCAGCGGGATGTCCTACCATGGGTGCTGTTTAACTCATCTCTGCTCCGCAGGAGAGTTTGGAGAAATCTGCCGGGGATGCCTGAAGCTGCCGAGCAAGCGAGAGCTGCCAGTGGCGATCCAGACCCTGCGGGCAGGGTGCTCGGAGAAGCAGCAGCGCTCCTTCCTGGGGGAAGCATGCACCATGGGCCAGTTCGATCACTCCAACGTCATCCGCCTGGAGGGGGTCGTCACCAGAGGTAAGGGGGGTCCTGGGCTGTACAACACAGGGCAGCCCGAGCAACATGCAGCGGAGGAAGGCTCCTGTGCAGGCAATGTGCTTAAGCTGTCGCTTTGGAGTGATGACCTGGTGCTGGAGGTGCAGTACTGCTGGCTCTCTGGAAATCAGGTGTTTCCTTATGTATTAGCTATTTTAGCATTCTGATGATTAATTAAATGCTTACAGCTAGATTAATAAATCCAGGTAGTACGACTGGCTTAGCAGAAAAAAATGTGCACTCTTAATAAAAGCAAATTGAAGTAAGGTTCTGTCAGTAAAACAGATGACTCTGCTCCCAGCTCTCGGGGGAATGTGTGCGCTGAACTAGCCTGCAGATGCTGTACTTAAATGGATATTCATGTAAATCCAAAGAAACGTGAGCACGTGTGCAGATTATAACTAGCCTTTTTATTAGGTGAGGAAGTATTTCTGTCCTGAGTCTTAGACTGAGCTGGTTGCTTTTGCTGTCACTAAGTAGTGCTGTCCTCCTTTGTGATGTAGTTCAGTGTCCTGATAAAAGAAACCTCTGATATTGGGATCCAGTGGGATCCCAGCTGGGAATGACAAGAAAGCCTCGGACCCACTGCTCATTGCAAACTGTCTGAGATAAAGCCCTTGTCTCCCTTAATAGCCAGGCGGTGCAGGCTGACCGCGTGTGAGGTTAGCACCCAGATTTCCAGCACCCGCAGTGTCAGAACTGCCTGAGCACTGGGCAGGACTCACGCAGTGCTCCTTGTCTGTCTGTGCAGGGAGTACCATGATGATAGTGATGGAGTACATGGGGAATGGCATGCTGGACTCTTTTCTCAGGGTGAGTGCTGCGGGAGCCAGTGGTAACTGCGGGGGTCTGCCCCACACGGGCTCTGCTGGCAGTGCCCCCTCGAGCTGGGCATTACTCACCTTTGGCTTTTCCTCCTCTTTTCTTACAGAAACATGAGGGACAGTTCACGGCCACCCAGCTCATTTGCATGTTGCAGGGGATTGCCTCTGGCATGAAGTACCTGGCAGAGATGGGTTACATACATAAAAGCCTTGCTGCCCACAAAGTCCTCGTGAACAGCAGCCTGGCTTGCAAAATAACTGGTTTCAGACAGCCACAAGACGATAAGATGGAGACCATCTTCTCCACCATGGTAAGCTGCATTTTCAAATTCTGTTGTCAACATTCACCGAAAGCAAAATGCTGACAGAACAGCTACAAAACGTCCGTGGAGGTGGATCTCCCTGGCTGCAATGCGTGGCCATGGCCAGGAGCGTTTGGACTGGGGCCTGGTGTCACTGGAGAGGTTTGCAGCCTGTTCTGAATGCCGAATAAGGCTCAGATCCAAAGCCGGCCAGCTTCCGCAGGTGGAGTTAATAAGACTTACAGCAATCTTACTCCAGAACCAATATTTTTCCTAGCCCCCGTTCTCTTCCTCATGTATGAATGCAGGCTCTGCATCTTAACATCTTCTTTCTCAGCTAGAAATCAAATGCGTTCAGCGAGGGAACTGCACAGCAGCTGCCCATCACTGCTCTTCCTCTGGCTGCAACCCTGCCACACGTCTGCGCAAACTGGCAGAGAGGTGGTGGGTGGCTGGAGGAAGCCTTGGCAGCCTCAGGGTTCCTTATGTCTGTTTTATTGCTTGTAATGAAATTCATGGTTTTCAATTAAGAATTTAAGTCCTGCTTGATTCACACTTCAGCTCGCCAGCTCTTCTAGCCAGTGCGTCTCCCGAATTCCTGCACGCACTTGGAAAAGCTGCCCGGGAGCCCTTGGGTGCGGAGCCAGGGGGCTGCCCCTGCCCGCCGGGCTGGCCTCTGGACCCCTGAGGCCCTGCAGCCCCTCGCTGGCGCTGGCTCTCCCTCCCTGCTCCTTTCACACACCACTTCAGCGTGTTTCACTTGAGAGTGCATCGATGCATTTTAACTGCATAGCAATAAGATGTATTTCATTTGGTACCCCGCAGCCGCCCAATATCAGCTGGGGATGTTAGCGCATCACGTTAACCAGGCATTAATATTTTAAAGGGCATTGATTCCTCAATCAAATGAGCACTTACTGTTTGCAGGGAGCGCTGGGCAGCGCCAAGGAGGCAGCAGTTGACGTGCGCTGCCTGCAGGGACCCGGTGCCTGTGTCCCAGAGCAGGGTATGGGCATCCCAGGGGGAAGAGCCTGTTTGCAGGGTTCAGCCCACGCTCTGCCAGGAGCTGCCATCACTTGCCAGCTCTGAGCAGGCTGGTGCAGGAAAGAGTCTTGGAAAACTTTTTCAGCTGTTATCACTAGCTGCAAGGAGGCACGTTCGGTGTGCTCCGTAGGGAGAGCACTGCTGTCCCGAAGAGTCCCCGGCAGAGCGCAGTTCCCGCTGGCTGGATGTGGCGAGTGTTGCCTGCAGAGCTGTAGCTCAGCCGTGGCTGTCATGCTGCAAAGCTCTTGAGCAGAGTTGCCCTGGTGCTGGTGAGCCAGTGGGTACAGGGCAGCCTGCTGAGCAAGAGGGATGGAGACACCAGCAGGAGCCCTGGCTTCTCCCACAGTGGTGCGGTGAGGCTGTGGCTTTGGGGTCAAGGTCTCCCCACTGTTAATTGCAATTAGCTACGGTCTCTGTCACCTGCTTCCCCTAGTGCATCCAGAGGGCTCTGCAGATGCCGAGATGGAGATTGCTAATTACAGGAGAGAAAGCCAGGGTGGAGGGACTGCATGTTTGTGCAACTCTGAAATGGTTTTCGTTAAATATTAACGTATAAAATGCCATCAGCTCTTGCCAGAGACATTTTCCTCTCCCATGAATATTTCAGGACTCACACTCCCATGTAGCATACACTTACATTGCATCGCATGGCCATTTGAAAACAAATCGAGGCAGAAGTTTTCTCTTAGTACCAATCCTGCATGTGGCACATGGACTTGCTTGGTGTCGCCTGGGAATCGCGTGCATTGGCTACATCCCGCTGTGCGAATGCGTCATTTCTCCTCTTCTGCCTGTCCAGCGTGGGAAGAGCCTGGTGCTGTGGTCAGCCCCAGAAGCCATCCGGTATCACCACTTCAGTCCGGCCAGCGACGTGTGGAGCTTCGGCATCGTCATGTGGGAAGTCATGTCCTACGGCGAGAGACCCTACTGGGACATGTCCAACCAGGATGTGAGTCCCCAGCGGTGGTGCGGTAGATGACGATGTTGCCATTGCTAATGGTGTGCAGGTGGCTCCACGGTGCGTGGAGGAGCTGCTGCTGCTCACCAGGCAGGGCGTGAGGAGGGAGGTTTGCCCCAGGGGTTTGCCTGTGATCTGCATCCCAGTGCCTGACCACATCCCCTCACCTCCTCTGCCCTCCTGCCACTGCAGGTGATGAAGGCTGTGGAGGACGGGTTCCGCCTGCCCTCCCCGGTGAACTGCCAGCCCCCTCTGCACCAGCTCATGCTCGACTGCTGGCAGAAAGACCGCAGCCAGAGACCCAAGTTCTCGCACATCCACAACATCCTGAGCAAGTTGGTGCAGAGCCCGGAGCCCCCAAAGTGCCCCAGCTCCACGTGCACCAGGTGACCACCCTCTTGCTTTGCTGCCTGTTTTTCTGCTTTGCCCACCAGTTCCCACTCAGGCGTGCCATGCCCTGCTCCCTCCTCACCACCCCGATTTGTTGGCAGGTCCCACAGCACGTCCATCCCCCTCACCGAGCGTACCTTCTCAGCCTTCCCATCTTTCAGCTCCGTAGGCGAGTGGCTGGACGCGATAGAAATGGGCAGGTACAAAGACAACTTCACCGCTGCTGGCTACTGCTACCTGGAATCGGTGGCCAGGATGACAGCTCAGTAAGTGAATTGGTTTCCTGGCTATAACCTGTTGCTGCGTGCAGCGTGAGTGAGCTCTGCTTTGCAGTCACAGTCAGGCATCGCTAAACGAGAGGACGGCTCTTCTGAAACGTGTCTGTAAGAGCTCACTGGCATGGGTTGGGCTGTGTGTGTTGTGCATCTCAGTTGCTTGGTTTTGAAGCTGAAATTTAAACCTAGAGTTTGTGACTTTAACCTCTCGTTTCTGACAAGAGTAGTGTTCCTCGTCCCTTCCAGAAAGCAGTCTCAAATCTAATGTAATTTACTGGTAACGTGTTATGCAGGCAGCACAGGGTGGCAGGGTCAGGAGCCATATCACACCTGTCATGCTGCAGGCTTGTGTTACCCCTGGATTCCCAGTCAGGGTCCGTATTGCTTTGGCTGGGACAACCGGTTGGGGATTTCTTACTCTGGCAGGTCTGAAACCTGCGCTGCCCTTGCCTGGGAGCTGTTGGTGTCAGGGCACTTTAAAGTTAGGGCTTGTTTTTCACGGCTGATGTGTGGTTCGTTTTGCAGAGATGTCCTCAGCCTGGGGATCACGCTGGCGGAGCACCAGAATACCATCCTGAGCGGAATCCAGACTCTCCGGGCACAGGTGATCCAAATGCATGGCCGAGGCGTGCAGGTGTGAAGCAGCCCCCCGCAGAGGTGCAGAGCACTGAGCCGGCGCTCCCGGGGAGGAGACAGACAGCTGGCCCCGAAAGGACCAAGTCTCTGAAACTTCACAGTTTCAGGTGGGATGTAGGAATCACTGGGCTGCTGCCAAACAAGTCATTCCATGTGGCAAGAGAGCAGGGCTTCCCGTCCCCTGTGCTGGGGAAGCCAAGGATGCCTGGGACGCGTGCGGTGTGCCTAGGTGGATGTGGCTCTCCCTAGCACTGTTTTGTAAGATGCCATTTCATATGGTAATTAGGTTAACAGGGTGGATGGACACTTGCGCACTGTCTTAATCCAGAGCTGACAGCATTTTTGTATCTAGCATCCTACTGGTGAAATCCATGGGTATTTTTATACAAGCTGACATGTTCTAGCAACCCCACAAGCAGCTTTTATTGCTTTTATTTTTAGAGACCAGAGCACAGCTCACACCCAGTGCCCAACTTCTGGAAGGTGACTTTCCCCATCTGCTATGCTGAAGGAAACTTTCCCAGCTGCGTCCCTTCTGCTCCAAGAGTTACTTCACTGAGTCTTGACACCACAGTTGGTGAACAAAACCAAATATTCTCCGCTAAAGTGCAGAGCAAATGGTGCTGAATGTTTCTAAGGCTCTCTTGACAAGACAATTTCAGGGGAAGAAATGAAAAGCTTTGAAGAGAGCCAATAGCCAATAAAGGTCAAGCAATGGAGCCCTTGGGCTGCCCTGCTGATGCTTTCAGCCTTCACTGCCTTTTGTGCAGGTCCTGGTCCCTCATTTTACTGCTGGAGCCCAGCTGTAGGGTGGGAGCTTACAGACCAGAGCAACAGCAGGCAGCACACTGCTGCCCACGGGCGGACTGGCCCACAGGCAGAGACCTGGTGCCCACGCAGGACTGATGCTAAAGCATCTGTTGCTGCTTTAGCCTCTCTTCACTGCTTCCTGCCTTGCAGTTTTGTGGGCAAAGCATCCTGCATCTTGCCTTCGCTGGCTTCGTGGGCAGCTGTGATGGGCTCTGACTGCTGTCCCTAGGCTGCAGAGCAAAGCAGGCAGAGCATCACGGTGTGCCCACAGCCGTGGGCTGATGCCAGAGCCTGGGGCCTCCCTGCTGTCAGCTGAGCTGGAGCACCCTGCTCAGAGGTGTCCGCTCTACCTCAAAGCCGTAGATGGACGAGTGCTCTTCCCTCTTTAGGTCCAGAAGATTTTGCAGGGAAAAAGGTTTTATGAACAGCACTAATTCAACCTACAGTGGCAGAAAGGAACCTCCCAATTCAACCTGGATGAAAACCCAGGAATTGGTTTGGGGTCAGAGAGACAGTGGGGCATGGCTGTGCTTGAGGGGGATGCTGTCTGCCCTGGCAGCCTACGCCTGGCTGCTGGAAGGGCCGCCTCAGCTGCGGCGAGTGCCCTTCCCGTCCTCCTCCTGCTGCCCTGTGCCGGTCGGGAGCAGGGAAGGGAAAGGCAGCAGTCTGCCTGGGCGTCAGTTTTCCACCACAGGTTAATGGCTGGGTGGAGGCTGCTGCCCGAGGGCTGCAGTGCCCACGCGCCCCATGGCACCCCCAGCCTCTGCGGTGGGGCCCACCCTGGTCTGGGCATTTGAGGTGGCTGCAGGGGCTGTGCCGAAGGATGCTGGGGCTTGGGCAGAACTGACCGTTGCGTCTCTGGATCCCTGAAATCCCGCCATGCGATCCAGGCAAACCAGGGCACATCGGCACTTTATTTTATTGCAGATGGTAGCACAGTACTGCCTGCCTTGCGCGCTGGCAGCTCCCACTGATGCAGGCCTGATCCTTGATGGAAGACATAAATAGCATCTGCTTAATAATACAAGTTTCCTTGAAGTTAGTTAATTAAATGGGTCTTTGCAGCCTTGTACAGAGTTTTGTGGGCCTTTTATTATCATCTGTAAGTATTGCAATTGAATTATTAATCATGAAAGGCAAAGATTTACAAAGCGAATGAATGCTATGGGAGATATTCACAGTGCAGCTGGAAATCTGTTCGAGTCACATTGTCCTATTAGCCTGCTCCAAGAGGATGAGGATCTAAATGACGATTGAGCGAAGGGCCCTAAGGTAGCATCTCATGGGGCCAGCACATCGCCTGCCCTGTCCGGGCGTCTTCCTTCTCTCATGGTCGTGTGGTCAAGCCGAGCAGCACGACTGTAGGGGCTAGTGGCTGTCCTGGGCCCACTGGCCTTTACAGGACATGTTACCATAGAGATCCAGCTTCTGCTTAGCGAAGCCTCATTGACGGTGGTTTCCTTTTCACCGACCCTCGGGCTCTTCTGGCTCGGCTGCATGGCCAGGCTGGGTCCAGGAGTGCTGAAGACTGACAAGATTTCCCTTTTTTCAGATATTTTAGCTTGATTGCATCAGAGATCAGAACTCTCTGCCTGAACTTCACCGACCAGTGGTCTCAAGAAGGTGCTAGCTAATACTGTTTTATCAATGTTCCACCTGGTGCGGGTGCTCCCAGGCAGTGCTGTGGTGAGCACAACGTGCTCCCAGCCGCGCTTGCGTCCCGCAGCCCCGGTGGTGCAGGCTGGCAAGGAGAAGGGCACCTTCCCCTGAGCAGGTTTTGAGCTCTCGGTAGCAAACACGAAGAGGAGCGTGAGCTGACACAGACATGCATGTGCAGAGCTCGAGACAGGAATGCTCGCTCTGCGGGACCCGGAGCTGCCATCGGTCTGTGGGTGCAGACGGAGCCCCCCCGGCAGCGAGCGAGTGCTGGGCGCACTCCAGGGAGATTGCTGCTCTCCGGGGTAAACAAGCTCTCTCCTTCCTGCCACCTCTGCAATTTAAGCAACATTCCCCAGTGTCACTTGGTTAGTTTTTTTTAACAGAAATAATTTCTCTTTAAGTTTGGCCCTTGTCCGCTCTGGTTGGTCACTCGCCGTCCTGCTGTTTCACACCCAGAAGAGTAATAATGGTGAATGGAAACCTTCATTTGGTAGAAAAGCCGGATCCCAAGGATCAAGTGCAATTTGTATGCTCTTTATGTTTACATTTTATCTATAGAGAAAGTATATTATAGTTCTGTAGGCGGAGAGTTGAACCAACTTAATTCCGGATCCTCGCCCCCATCTCCCTGCTCTTGTCCTATCCGCCGGTATTTCCAGCAGCCTCCCTCATCGGGATGCAGGGAGCTGTGCTGGGAACTCACTGCCATAGGGGCTGGCTGTGGGTTGGTGCAGCTGCTTTCAAGGAGGTCTGGGGAAATCTAGGGCTTGGTGACGAGGTGACAGAGTGCTTCAGCATCTGACAAACAGACCTGGCCATCAGCAGGCAGTGGCATATTCCTCTTGAACCCCCCAGAGCAGACCCTAACTCCAAAGTTATGGAAGCGAGGAGTGCCCGCGGCCGCTCTCAGAGCTGCTGGGATCTGGTCCTCAGTCCCTCTGAATGCTGCTTAAGCTGTGCTGAGGTTTCTCTCTCCAGCTATCTGGAGTCATGGCAGTTTCTCCTGGGCTGCAGTGACGGGTGGCTTGCCGGGAGCCGTGGGTCCCTTGGGAAGCTGCCGTGGCCGCACGGGCAGGGGTCCCTGCCCTCCCACAGCAGCTGAGCTCTGCACAGGGCTGGGCAGCCCTGCAGCTTCCTATGCTATTTGCTTGTGTAGTTGTATGATGCTCACTCTGTGCTAGGGTACTCCAAGTGAAAATGAGACCATCTTTCAATCATTTCTTTAGTGTTTCCCCCACTGAATTAGGTTCCCATACTACATTCTGTAGCACAATCAGAACTGAAGGTGTAATTTCTTTGTCTGAGTCTCTCTAGCTGCTCCCAAAAGAAATTTCGTGTTTAATTACTTTTCTGACTTAGTCTGGTGAGGGACATGGACGTCGTGTTTCAGAAAGCTGTTTCTTTTAGACAGTATGGTTCTGTGGTTGTGACCGTCCTCTAACTCAGCGGAAAGAAGAGGTATTTGCTTTCCTGGCTTCTCCTTCAAGAAATAAAAGAAAAAGCACATAATGGAAATATGCTTCCTAGCCTAGCTTGTTGCAATAATAAACACTTTTAATTGAGTTCCTCATCAACACTGAAGATAATAAAATGAGCAGATTAAGCTATAGATTGTTGTTATGATTTTAAAATTAACTTGCATCCTCTCAGCACCTCTCTTTGGGGAAGTATTCAATGCCTTATAATTAAATTAATTAGCAACACTGTTTTGGAGCTGCTCAGCCAAGGGAAATGCCTCAAAATTGTTTCAGTCTCTGCCCATCTGGCCTCTGAGACAGTGCAAGGCTCCTTCCTCCTCCCTTGGCTGTGGGATCACAGCCCCGATCGCATTGGTGCTAATAAGGGCTTGGGACGGGCCGAGCACACTTACCTCTGCAGCTGCGTTGGTGTTCGTTGGCTTGTTAACAGAAGAGAAAATGAGTGTTTTGTAATCTGCGGCCTTTGCTGGAGCTAATAAATACAGTTACGAGAGGATTAGATTTTAGATGTTCAGGCAGAGTGGAGGCCAGTTGTAAATTAGAGGAGCAGTGCAAGTGAGTTTGTCTACGCTTGTGTGCAGACAGGACCGTCGCCGTTCTTGCGTGGAGGGGAAGCAGCTGGAAAGCAACCCCGATGGCTGGGTGCGTGCTGTCGGTGCCTCGTGACTGCAAAGCCGGGCACTTTCCGTCGTGTGTCCTCTGGAAGAGCAGCGCAGCAGCGGTGCCTGTCAGCAGCCAACGGCCGGCTGCTTTTCAGGGGGCAGCGACAGGGACGTGGTGTCCAGCCTGGCGTTTGGGGTGCTGGACAGCACGCTTTGCTGCCCTGAGACAGTAGCAGGAAACCTCCTGTTCCTGGGCTTTGCTTGATACTGCTCCTGGGCATGTTTCTACCAGGTGTTCTTCTCTGCCAGTGGGAAAAGGCACAGCGCAGCCTCTCCTGGGTGGCTGCAGAGCGATTCCAGCTGCTCGCTGCAGCTCCGCTCTGCAGGAGGGACCCTTTCCCCTGAGCTCCCTCACCTGCAGTCCCCGAATCTCCCCTGCTGTGTCGTCCCTTGTT